TATAGGGATTTAATGAACTCAAATTGAGTTACCATAATGGGTATATATAATAAATAATAGGGTTTCCCCAATATAGTAACTTAATTTAAGTTCCTTAACAGCAACCCAGCATCTGACCATGAGAGATGCAGGTTCACGAGACCGCACTCCTGTGCGGCAGCTGAATGTTTGGGGTTTAGGGTTTAGGGGTTTAGCTTTAGGGTTTAGGGTTTAGCCTAATCAGTGTTGCGATGTAGGGCTTAAAAAGGGATATATAAGGCATGTATAGGGATCATTTATGGGTTATTTAGGGGTTAGGGCTCTATGGGGGCAATGGAAAAGAACATGGAGATCGGTTGACATGAGGTGCTGCACTCCTCACCGAAGGCGTTCGCAAGATACATGGCACCCTCATTGCCAACCTTGTTTTCGCTCAGAAGAAGCTCCTGCAAGATCTCATTAGGGAATCATGTGCTAAACTCCTAGCATTCCCCTTAATAAGCCTGAAAATACTTCCCTATATAATCCCCTATAATCCCCTACAGAATTTCCCTTACAAGGAGTTTAGACTATAGCTCATGCGGAGCACCCGCAATTGCCAAAAAGTCCTTCAGCGGATGCCGAGCCACCTCGGCCATGCACTTGGATAGTTCTCTAAATCACGGGCCCCTTTGGTTATGAATTATAGGGGATATATAGGGATATAAAGGGGGTATATAGGAATCATATATGGGTTATGCTGTGAATTTTATTAGGGGTAATGGAAAATAAAATGGAATCTACTGTTGAGGGTTTAGGGTGTGGGGTTTAGGGGTGCCAAATTGGGCCCCTAATTTTGGAACTACCCACGTGATGACAGGGCCCAACAGGGCATCCCGAATCGCCAAGGAAAGCACTGAGGCAAGAGCGGACTCTGCCAAAGCCTTGACTCCCAAGACTCCGATTTCATTGCCTGCCACTAGCGTCGCTAGAACCATGTCCATGTCATTCTCCATGTTATTTTCCGTTTGATTCTCCTTTCTCGTCCCCCTAGATCCCCTGTGTATCCCTATGTAGCGCTATGTAATGCATTAATAGTTCCCTATATTCTCACCCCTATATAATCTATAATTCCTATATAGTCATCTCCAGAGGGAGGGTCGGCCAGCAGGTTAGAGCTTCGCACGAACTGGAGGGGGCTTAGGGTTTGGGGTTTAGGGTGCGCCTGTCAACTGCAGCTCCTCCAGTTGCGGCGGTAACACCTGGAAAGCGTCCAACGCTTCATGTCAACCGGTTTCCATTTTCTTTTCCATTATCGCTATAACCCATATATCAATTCCTATGTAAGCCATATAGATCCCGACATAACCCCTATATAACTGCTTGAATAGAGCTGCACTGAGAAAACATCTCGCCTGGGCCAACTCTTGAGTGGCCTTGTTCTTCAACTTTGATTGCGTCAGCTGGAGCTCACGGCACTGTACAGCGAATTGCCGTGCAACTGAGCTGCTGGATCTCCGAACTTGTTTGAGCTTAGGTCCAGCTTGCGCAGGCGGCTCATCTGCGAAATGGCCTGAGGCAGAGGGATGCAGAAGAGCTGGGTTGGGAATTGTGCCGGAAAGGAAACCACCACTGAACTACTGAAACCTGTATCTTGAGTTCTGGGATTCTATAATTTAATACTCAACCTTTTCCACCTTAGCTGATCCTAAGTACATGTCACTCCACGATACAAGCTGAAAACACTCTCTTCCTCCCCACTAGGCCGTAGAGTAACGACACTGCAGCAAGACGATAAACGTTGCTTCATACTCCAAAATCCCGGCGCGCCGTGCTTGCAGAGACGAACAGAACCCTCGACCGAACCCTGCTATACCCACGCGGTTTAGGGCTCAGGGTTTATCTTTCTGATATGGACGCAAGCAAGTACCCTGCCATGATCCTGAACAAGCCAACCAAGGTTGAAAATGCTTAAGGATTCGCATGAGGCGAGACATCTCATACTTGACTCAACAACATCTAAGCCAGCATGCAGCAAGCGCTCGACAAGAGGGTTTAGGGCTTAAGGGATTAGGGTGTAGGGCTTGGGAGCATGTGGATAGTTACCAAAATTGGGGTCCCATTTTGGTGCCCCTAAACAGTAGGTACCATAATATAATTTGGACCCAAAAAAGGTCCATAATTTTGAGAAGAACCCATGTGCTACACCAAACTTAGACAACTGTGCCCTCACGCCGATGGACCTTGCACAGCTGGATCACGCCCCTGTCAGAGATTCGGTTGCCACCTTGCTGCTAGGCGTATTAGAGGCACTATGTAGGGATTATAGGGATTATGCGTATCTTAGGGGTTGAGCCTGTTGGTCTCTTCTGCCTGCAGGCCTTTAATTTCCATGCAATTTCCATGCAGGGCTTAGGGTTCAGTTTCTATGCAGCCGACCCGACCGATCAGTTTGTTCGCTGCCCTGCATCTACTGGCACCCCCTAATATTAAACTCCCCTAAACCCTCCTGATACATATATATATATATATTGTAATATACCACAAGGGGAATATTTAACCGCCGTGGGGGTTGAATATGAGACCCCTTGGCAGAAGCTGGCATGTACTCCGTCAATCATTGTTGCCACATGAGCTAAGCTATAGTCTCAACTCCTTCAAGGGGGTTATAGGGGGTGTTATAGGGACTTACTATAGGGGTTATTAAGGGGATACTGGGAGCATAGACTATAACTCAGACATCCCTATAAACCCCAGTTTCCATGTCATTTCCCATTTTCTTTTCCATTTGATTCTCCATTATAAGGATTATTCAGGGGGATCCTAGGAGTTTAGACCCTAAACCCTAAAAAGTAGTTTCCATTTTCTTTTCCATTGTCCGTATATTTGTGACCATGGCTCACATGTACAATCCTTGCGCCGGCAGTTCGCACGGTCCTGTTGTCTGAGCCCAAACCCCACATAGTAGCTTCCAGTTGGAGTTAAGAGATTTGGCCAGATTACCCGACAGCATGGAAGAATCTCTTGGGCATGGGCCAAAGTCTAGAGTGTGCAGCTTCTCGCCGGCAAAGCCTTGGCAGGCTATATGGCAGTTTCCCAATTTATGGGACCCCAATATACACCCCAAAATACTATGAATCTTATTGCGTGTGAGGACCCCCAAAATAATGCCCCTAATCTTGGGAAATCCCCATTTTCAACGCGACACGCTTCGGTCCCGAGACCCTAAACCCTAAACCCTAGTGGATGGGTGCCGGGCCCTCAAGTGCGCAAGCCAGTTGCTCTGCACCCTCGTCACCAACCTTCACTTGCTGGTTCTTAGCAGGGTTTAAGGTTTAGGGCTTAGGGCTTAGGATCTATCTTAGTTTTATGATTGATGCTATTATCACTATGGTTAATACTATTACTACCAGTAACAAGCACTACTACTATTGTCACTGTTACTTCTATGATTGCTATTACTACTATGATTATTATTACCAGTATTATCATTATCACTGGTATTATTCTTATTATAATACTTTTATCTTAGGTGGACCCCACCCTGCAATAATGGTAATATGGGAATTTAAGAGGACCCTAATTTAATCACCAGTATCGATTGGATTCACTATTACTGGGTAGAGGGTCCTGAGACCTATCACTAAAGTTCCTCTGGCACAACGAAAGTCACAGAACATGGAGTCCAATCCCCGTCGGATGCATGCTGACAAATGCATATCATAATGAAATAGATTGCATTTTCTTTTCCACTATCCCAATATAACCCCAATGTTCTATATATAGTAGTTTCCATTTTCTTTTCCATTATCCCTACCCTAAACCCTAGACCCTATACTATAGTAGTTTCCATTTTCTTTTCCATGATCCCAATACACGATGAGCACTTCAGGTCCCTTTTTCCTGCACTCGCAGACATGCTCCGTAGCATCAAGGTGCTGTATGCGCTCTTGAATACTGTTGACGGAGTCCTAAGCGCAAAACGCATTGCGTTGCTGAGCCTGAGCTAGTTAACCTTGATTTGTAAGGCACATCTCTATCCAATATCAAGGGCTGAAGCTGGCTGTGTGGAGGACCACAACTTTTGTTCCTCCGTTTGCAGCAATGCCAGGCTACACATTGAGCGTGCGCTGGGCATAGCTGCCTCACTGTCCAACACTCCGGAGAAGAGCAAGCCTACCACTCGTTGGCTGGGAGTTAGTAGGGAATAAGGGTTCATAGTAGTTGGTGAGCAACATAACTGAATCCTGCAACGCGGCACGTGAGCCTGCCTGGTCTAGCTTGCCTGATTTGGAACTACGTTCCCATCCTCATCGAGTTCCTGCTCCTCCTGCCAGGGAAAAAGGCTTAGGGCTGGTGTTTAGGGATCAGGGTTGAGAGAGATTAGAGTGTGGGTTTTTTACTACCCCGTCAACTCTTTTCATGTCTTTCTTACACTCGGGGGCCAGTGTTGCCCGGTCGGCTTCTGTCTATGGCTTCTCCGCTCAGTCTTCCTTGTCCATGTACGTTTGGCTATTTCTTGAAATAAGGGAACCCCATTATAGACCCAAAGATAGCATAATCCTGACTATGGGGACCCCCCAAAAAGGTACCCCTAATTTTGGGAAACCCTAATCCCTATAATCCCCTATAGAAACCCAGTTTCCATTTCATTTTCCATTTTCTTTTCCATTTGATTCTCCATTATAGTAGGTACCCCTAATTTTGGGAAACCCCAAACCCTTATCCCTAAACCTAAATAGTAGTTTCCATGTTATTTTCCATTATCCCCATATAACCCCCCATATGACCCTACTCCCTAATTTTGGGAAACCCCTATGTCTCACCCTGAGTCCGATCATTACCATCAACAACCTCATCATCATCCATTGCAACAGCAATTCCCTCAGACCATTCAGGAATAACATCAGCACCGCCGCCACCAAAACTGTCACCAGTATCCATGTTCATGCCCAGGGATTAGGGTTGAGGGTAGGGTTTCGAGATTTCAGTCGGACACCGTAGGCAGACATTAGGGCGCAGCTTCATGATACTGACACCCCTGAAGCTACATGTGAGAAAGATATGGAAGGGTGTAGGGTCTTTTTTGTCGGACCTTTTTCCAGCTGCCGATTGGGGTTCAGGGTTTAGGGTTTAGGGTCTATAGTCCCCCTTAAGTAGATAGAATATGGGTTATATGGGGATCTTTCTATTATATACCCAAAGCCATATTCTATCTACTTGAGGGGGACTATAGACTCCAATATATACCCTTCTATATTATAGTAGTTTCCATGTTCTTTTCCATTATTCCTATATAAACCTTATAAAACCTATTCAACTTAAGGGGGAATTATAGGCCTGCATTGGAGCTTTAGGGCCTAGGGTTTCCTGTTTAGGGTACACTGTGCTGGCCTCCTCATCGATTGTGTCTATCTCGTCATCGTCATCCTGGAAGGTGTCCCATGGCACCTGCGCTGCAGTGCCTTTTTTGAAATGAGTCATAGTCTAAACCCCTAGTATCCCCCCAATAAGCCCTATAGTAGTCCCCTATATAATCCCCTATATAACCACCCTTTAAGGAGTTTAGACTGTAGCTCAAATGAGCTACAGTCTAAAAGCCATACAGGAGGTTATGTAGGGTTTAAAGTTTGGGGTCTAAACTCCTTCAAAGGTGCTATATAGGAGATGGTATAGGGGACCGTCTACAGGGGTTATTTATAGGCAGGGGTTATTCAGGGGGTACTTGGAGTTAGGGTGTGGCTCAAATGCACAATGACCTCTCAAACAGCACAATTCTTACTGGGGTTAGTAGGGAATGCGAAATATAGCATATGTATATATAGGGATTATGATATTCCCTTGTTCCCTAGTAACCACCAGCAAGAATACGCTCTGAGTACAGAAGCCTCGTGGATGCGGAGGACTGACTTTGTTGGATCCTGCACTCATAACCCCTGGGGAATCAAAAATTGCAGATGAAATGGAACATGGGATTATCTATGGGGTTCAGAGGGATTAGGTTCACCGTCTCAGAGAAATGCAACTCAGACTAGCACCCATTACTTTACCGCAACAGTCAATCGACATCTTGCAGCCTCACATAACCAGAACCGTCCTTGAGCAGCAAGTACTTGCCGTCCTCCCAACCTGCCAGGGTACGAAATCCACGGTTTAGGGTTTAGGGTTCATGACTGAATTAGTGTGAACCATCTTGTCCACGACCTTCGCTATGCAACTGCCTAGAACCCCTTTTACTGCAGAACCTAAAGCCATCCTTACCAAATTCAACAGCCAGGAAATTGGAACTCTAGCCGACTCTAACTCCTACTACCCCTTTAACCCTGAACACAGAACTCCGGTTTCTGAGCCCTTTCAAACTAGCAACATCAAGCAGCATGACCAAAACATCACGTGAGCAGATTCGGGCAGTGATTGCCCAATCTTTAGGATTTAGGGTTGAGGGTAAGGGCTCATGTGCAAGTGACCTCATGCTGGACATGGAAGCATTCCAACTACACTTGCTGAAGCAGGCGGCTCCCTTGTGGTGTCGTAAAAGCAGGGATTCCGTTGGACTTCTCACTCGAGCACGGTCATCCTTCATTCTTACTATATGCTCATACTATATTACTATAGCACCATCTTACTACATTATTACAGTATGGTACTAGATAGTATTTTATCACCATCTTACTATACTCTTACATAATATTACTCTGAGATTATCAGACTACGTTATCACATTATAGCTCCAAAATGTGACATTACTACCCTTCCTCCCGCTCACACCGTACTGTCACCCTGCACGATGAGCGTATCAATACCAACTGGCCGAGCAGCTCATGACCAAATCGATGATGTTGCGAATGATGCCAAACCTTGAAGGTCTTTAGACGCAAACAACATGTGATACTTTTTCTGCCAGTTCTAAAAGGCTAGATCAAGTCGGCATTGCCAGATTGCCAGACATAGCTTTTAGCATGGGGCTAACAGCTGAAAATTGCTAGCGAGGTCCATGCAGAGGAACTTGACATGTTCACGAGCTTTCGAGGTCATAGCATTGCAACGCCTTCTCTTGTCTTGGCCTCCCGCCCTTTCTCACAGCCTTCAGGCCTATTAACCGCTTCTGTCGCACCCCCGAATTAACAAACCCCCCACCCATGGCGCTAATATATAATAGTACCAGATTAGGTGGGTTTATATACATCTATCAGGGTACCATATTGGGAGATTCTATATCTATGTATGTACATATATACATAATGAATGGTTTCATATAGGAGGTTTAGATATGTAATGGTACCATTTCAAGTGTGTTTATACATTACCACAATCAGCTTGCCGAGAACAAGAGGTCGGACTGCAACCCCACCATGGTGCGAGAGGCACATACCTGGATGCCTTGGGTACTGCCCCCAGCCTGCAGCAGTCTATACTAGGGGTCTTATTGAAGGCTATATAGAACTGTATTTTAAATATGATCCAATTGTTGCAGAGTGGGGGCAGTACCCCATGACACCCTAGTCCTTCAACCCTAGACCCTAAACCCTAAACCCTAAACCCCAAGTCTATGCTGCTGAGCCGCATGTTGTTGCGCGTCAGACCGATCTGCTCCGCAAAGCCGCTAGTGGCATAGGTCTGCACTCCCAGTAGTACATGGGACCATGGGTCCTTGGGGTGCTGACGAGACCTGAGTGGGTTTAGCTTCTTGTTTTTTTAGGGTTTGGAGTTTAGGGTTTAGGGTTTAGGTTTTTTTTTGCAGCGCCTCTTTTCCAACCGCATGAGTTCGAAAAGCCTGTTTGGCAGGCGCGTCCCCTGTGCAAAACTCGTTACTCAAAGTATGCCCATTGGAGAAAGGCATTCAGGAACCCACCACCTGTTGCACCGACCCTGGCCCAGCTTACGAGGCGAAGGCACGAGCAACAGGAGCAGTTCACCCCTCAGCACCAGAGCCGACACAGAGGGTTTAGGGTTTAGGGTTTGTGAGTTTAGGGTCCTTGGGGTAATGATGAGACCTGAGTGGGGTTAGTTTTTGTTGTGGGGTTTAATTAGGGTTTAGGGTCATTGGGAGGCTGATGAGACCTGAGCTGGACAGTCTACACAGCCTTCCATGACGAATGGGGACGGATACAAGCACACAAAGCTCCGGGCACATATCCGATCTTGATGGTCTCGCATCCAGCCAAGATGGCCTGCCATTCCAGCTTCGAGCGGCGCTGCGTCAACGCAAGAAATTGCTAATCCTCTCTCCCCAATATCAAACCCCCCCACCCGCCTTAATACTAAATACTCCCCACTATGGTATATCAAAATTTAGTGGGAGTATTTAATGTCAGGGGGGTGGGGGGTTCAACATTAGGGGGATAGGATTGCCCTAAACCCAAACCCTAAACCCCTAAACCCTAAACCCCTAAACCGCTAAACCCCTAAACCCTAAACCCTAAACCCCTAACCCCTAAACCCCTAAACCCTAAGCCGTAGCTACGGAAGCTCCTGAGCAGTCCAACGGCCCAATTTGAATGCATTGTTTTTGAGCTCCGTCGCGAGGCATGCACCTGTGGCACACATCACTCCCGCCTTTAGAAAGGACAAAAAGAAGAGTATATACCCTATAATCCCTATATAACCCCTTATAGTAGTTTCCATTTTCTTTTCCATTATCCCAATATAACCCCAATATGAGGGAATATGTTGGGGTTATATAGGGATAATGAAAAGAAAATGGAAACTACTATTATGGTATTCATAAGATTTAAGATATATACTGGGCCTATAGTAAGGAATGACCGTTTCAGGCGTGACTGTCTGACATGCTGGACGCACCTCGCGTAGACTCCTGAGCTTTAGCAAGGCACTTTTCAAGCTCAGGACCACCTCTTGCACTGCAGCACTACGTCCCAGCTGAGTCACTAGATGAGCTCGCCAGTTGTAATTGGGCTTGGGCTCATACTCATGCATGGCCTGTGGAAAAAAATCAGCTGAGGAGAGTATCAACTCCCATGGCTCCAACAAAAGCTCATGCCAGAAGCTTGCTTGCGGAACAGGGCGGGTCAGGATCTTCTAGCGTCAGAGGAAGGATAGAGGATGCATTCACGCTCACAAAAAGAGGATTTGGTGGCTGCACCAGGCGATTGAAACAATTTGTTGCACAAGAGTTGGCATCGTTCTCTTGATTTATTGCCATTGTTTGAGGGAGGCGGTAGCTAGTGTCAAGAAAACACCGCAAGCAGCAGCCTTTCCCACTGGGAAAGCGGCGCTTTCAAAGATGTGAGGGGAAGATGGGCACCACACAAAAGCAACGCGTACGACAGTGTTGGATGGTCCATGCGCGAATGGTCTGCGGAGGAGTAGGACGACATGAACATGGATGCTCCAGGAAATACATGCAGGCGTGGAAACAGCATGGATGCGTATGATGCCTTGGCAGAATGTTAGAAGTCACAAAAAAAAACCTTCATAGATTGTCCTCTTGCCAACATTAGTGCGTGCAAAATGTCCACAAAGGTTGATAGCAGGGACAACAGCCAATAAACAATGAAACATTGTGGCAACAGCAGTGATAGACAACAGTGGCGTAGGAACTACACTCATCCTAGGAGGACATTAACTTGCAGCGCCATCAGTACAACAAATAGTACAGCCTAAAAGAGATTTTTCTGCGGCTCCACAAAGAGAATCGAGCTGAGAGACCAAGCATACCAACATGTGGCGTTTCAGCACAAAGGCTTCAGCAGTAGTTCAATTGTGGTGACAATCTGCATTTGACCAATGATCACGACTCATAATGTCATAGCTAACATTACCATTGGTGAGGGTCCGCCCACGTTGGTTCGCAAAACATCCGAAGAAGTTCAAGCTCTAGAGTAGATAAGCACCTGATAGTGTTCAGCTAGGATAAGCGGTGACGCTCAACATGTAAACCTTTGCAAAACCCAGCTTGTGCGCAAAAAAGCCCTGATGGTCGACACGCAGCTAAAGCTCTCACTCTACAAATTGCTTCACCAGGTTGACATGCTTTGCTATGCGTACTGGTTCTTTAAAGGGAATAGCAGAGTAGCTGGAAATATTATCCTTGTATACTCCCTATATGACACATTCCCTGTTCCCTACCATAACCCCAATATATATATATATATACCCTTCTTCCCTCCTGTAAGTATGGTGATGACTCAATCTAAGGTTGAAACCATGAGCCCCTAGTATGGGCCCTTAACCCTGGGATCCTTATATCATAATACCCACTATATACCCAATATGTACCCTTAAGGGTCCCCAGAATCCCCCTAAAAGGCCTGAGGGCCCATATGAGGGCTCATACTGCTAACCTTAGACTCAACCCCCCGCGCCTTGACGGAAACCAATTCGTTGTTACTGGGCAGCTTGCAATTCACCTCTGTACCTGGTTTAGAGTTTAGGGTTTACGGGGTTTAGGGTTTAGGGTTAAGGGGGTTTAGGGTTTAGGGTTAAGGGGGTTTAGGGTTTAGGGGTTTAGGGGTTCAGGGTTTAGAGTTTATTGGTTTAGGGTTTAGGGTTACCTTTGCCCACCACGTTGCTACAGCATGCTCAATGCAGCGCAGCTCATCTGATTACGGTTTGCCCCTGGTTAAAAAAAAATCCCTACAATGACCCTAATAGATATCCCATGTTAATGTAGTAGTTTGCATTTTTCCGCTATCATAACCCTAAACCCTGCGTATATATATATATGTAGAGAGATATCCACCGAGAGCAGGACGCACAACCAGTTTGACCTCTTTCTGCTCAAAGTCGGTGCTGGCCTGCTCAAGTGCAGCCAGCCGGCAATTCAGTAATTTAGACCCTTGATTAATGAACCCGCCTTAACATTTAGGATCCCTATAATGACTCCCATTAAGGGGAGGGGCTTATTAATCAGGAGTCTACATTAGTGTTCTTGGTGGCTGAACCAAGTAAGATATCTAGACTTCAAGGAGAACCCTCCTCTATCTGCAGAACAATACACGGAACCTCGTTCTAAACATATCTTACAAAGCAATAACACTGCAGGTGGCAGTAGCTTTACCCTTGGCAGCATGCTGTGCAAGTTTCAAGCCTGCGCGCATGGAATCTATCTCATAGGGACTCGAATATCCCGTTTTAAAAGCCCTAAACCCTAAATCCACTTCAATATCTGCAAACTTCAGATAGTATTTCCCCAAATAGGGGGACCCCAATACAGACCCCAAAATACCATAGTCCTTATTGTTGGGACCCCGTAAAGTTACCCCTTTAATTTTGGGAAACCCTAAACCCCAAACCTTATATAACCCTCATACATCCTATGTCATACCCTATATAACCCCCTTTAAGGACCTAAACCCTATACATCCCCCATGAACCCTATATAATCCCCTATATAATCCCCCCCTTAACGAGTTTAGGCTACAGTTCACTACCCTAAACCCTGAACCCTAAACCCTAAACCCTAAATTCACATGGATGGCGGACCTTCGGGTTGCCTGGCAAAGTAATTTTGCGATATCTGTATGCGCCGGAGGCGACGCACCCCGCGTTGTCCTGGCAGACTATTCATGTTTCGTGTTTAGGGCTTAGGGTTCAGGGTTTAGGGTGTAAGGTTCAGGGTTTAAGGTTCAGGGTTAAGGGTTTAGGGTTTCCAAAATTAGGGATACAATTATGGGGGTCCCAATAATAAGAATTGCAGTATATTGGGTTCTATATGGGGGTCCCCCCCCCCCTATTTTGGGAGGGTTTCCTGATTATAGAACCTTCAACTTCCCGAAGCCCTAAACCAAAATTCCTCAACAGCAACCCAGCTTGAACACAAATCCAGGTGCCCCACTTAATTTGCTCCCACAAAACATCTTACAGATGTGGGCGGAGGTCTTCTCAAGAAATGGACCTTAGGGATATACTACAGGATATACGGGGATCCCAGGTTGGGAATTGTATGATTTTTCGGTTTAGTCCAGAGATTGCGTAGGGATTAGGGTTATATATAAGGTGGGTCCTATGTTGGGGTTATATATGAATAATGGAAAAGAAAATGGAAACTACTATAGACCCCCTTAATAAGGCCCCTTTAAGGACAGTTACTGGGAGGGGGAATGACCCAACGGATAACAATCCGGGATGTTCACTGGCAGCGTCAAGGCCAGCATGCTGTGGGCTGGGTTTGGCTGCTTTCCTGGAAACTCACTCGGCCATGGTGAGCGTGGCATCTTGCTAGGGCTTCTATTATTCATACGGGTCTTACTATTAATGTTGGACCCTGTTTATTCAAGAGGTCCCCTATAATGTGTTTTCGGGCCGGCTTATTCAGGACCCAGCAATGATTGGGAAGGTCCCCTATAATGTGTTTCGAAAGATTTTAAAAGGAAATCCTTTCTAAACCTTATCCAGCTC